TAGCCCATTCCTTAGCCCAAAGAGTTCGGAATTCTGTTTGGCCCCAAAATACTGCTCACATCTTATTTGCACTATGATGGTATATATATGATGCTGTATATTCGTTCCTTAATACTACTATAAGAATGTGTGTCTAGATGTATAACCAGAAATCATTATATTTATATTTTCTTCGGGCTGATAATACTTGTCCTTTTTTTAGATAAGGGTGAGGTCAAACTTTAAAATATTTGATTATGAATCATTTTTAAAATGTCTTTTAAATATGGTGACTACATATATAGATTAGTCTTAAAAAAATACTTTAATAAAATCATATATCTGTTAACATTTTTATACATATTATAATATTATAATAGAAAATAATTGTCAAAATTGTTTTTTTGAGACCGTACTCTTGACAAAAAGATAAGTATTATCAACCAGAAGAGAGTATCTGTGACGATCACGAAGGATAGTGTGATAGAAGATTATTCTATCTAATCTCAATATATTTTTACGAACTTCAATATAATAATTATTTAAAAAATACTCCCTCCATTCTAGAATGTAACAACCTAGAACCGGATGGGATGTACTCTAGTACTAAAAATCTGAACAGCCCCCTGTCTAGATTCGTAGTACTATGATGCATCACATCCGATCCTAGGTTGCTATATTCTAGGACGGAAGGAGTAAACTATTTTTTAGATAATAGAAAAAGTTAAAACTGAAGGTAGGCCTGGTTTAGTTCTCAACTTTTTCTTCAACCTTCAAACTTTTCCATCACATATAAACTTCTAAATTTTTTTTTAAACTTTTAATCTTAGTGTGGAACTAAACACACCCGTAGTACATTGGAGCGATGGTATAGCAGTGGTAGTGGAGCAGTGGAAGTGGGGGTGGCAATGGCATAGCTAGTGTGATGAGGAGAGAGGAGGCGACAGGAGAGAGAGGATGGGAGGGGGAAAAGCGAGGGGTGTCGGAGCGGGGCACACGGGGTCAACAGTTGGCGCGCCTTCTTTGTCGGCTTGTCCCCCCCACCTCTATCTCTTTATCGCATACTAGTACGCGCACACGAGCTTGTCTACCCCCATCCAACGTACTGTAGAGTTGTCCACTGCGATGCGAGGTCAACAACCAAACCGTTTTGGCCTGCCCGCCCGGCAATATGTCATGTGCAGCTACCTTTCCCTACTACTACTACTACCAGGTTCCACTTACCGTAGCGCGGGTACGGTAATAAAAAAACTGCGGTAACCTCTTTAAATTCAAATAAATTTAAAAAATAATTTAAATTTTTAATAAATTTTGCACGGTTTCGTACGGTCTTTTACAGTTACCGTGGTTACCGTGCGGTAAACGTGCTTACCGCCGGGGCGCGGTAACCCCGGCCCCGGCAGTTTGGGAAACCTGGCTACTACTGCTACCCCCTAGTACTACTGTAAAAGAACTGCTACTGCTACACCCTAGCTGCGACTCCTGCTCCGTATATTCTACGGAGTATTTCCTCTGTCTTAAAAAAACCAAAAATGATTATATTTTAGTATTACGAATTTAAACGGATTGTGCTAAGTTGGTATTTTAAGTCCGTAAGAGCAAGTTTAATAAGGATGTGTTTAGTTCCACACTAAAATTGGAAGTTTGAAGAAATTGAAATGATGTGACGGAAAAGTTGGAAGTTTATGTATGTAGAGAAATTTGATGTGACGGAAAAGTTGAAAGTTTGAAGAAAAAAAATTGGAATCTAAATAGGGCCTAATATAGATAACTACTAGCTTCAAAAATTAACACATTATCTATAATTAACTCAATTGCATACTCATCATACAATAGTTAACAATAAATACATGCACCGTTAATATATACCCCCACATTTCCCTCTCACATAGTTTATTGGAGCTCGTTTTACATCTGACTACAAATCTGTAGTTCACTTTTATTCTCTTTCACATAAGCGCAAAATATAATATGGTAACATGTAAAACCCATTTACACTAATTTATTGTAAGTGCTCTAACGCTACAATAACCGAGGTTTGCTCCTACTCCCTCCGTAAAAAAAAAGTCTTTAGACACACGTATCCAGATTCATCTCTAGAATTTGACCTTTTTTTTTTGAACGGGGAGTACCCCTTAGAACAAATGACATTGCTAGCCAGCACACAACCAGATCGAATACCACTACATCACTACTGCTACATAGGAGCACTACCAGAGTACTCCATCGGTACTAAAATAAAACCAACCACGTATGAGATGTTACACATCACATCCTAGTATTACAAATCTGGAAATATGATGTTCGTTTTTTTTTACGGAGAGAGAGTACATACAGGAGTATGCATTGCTCTAGCTAGGAAGCGGTAGTAGTACTATTTTATCACCATGTTATTTTATTGGTTCTTTTATCACATAATTTCGTTTCTCTAGTTATTGAAAATTTCATCTCCTCGTCAATAAAAAATTGAACTTTCCATTTTATAAAAAAAACAAACAAAGGGGAAGGTTTTAAGTGTAAATTAACCTAACTATGGTACGGTTTGCAAGAGCTTAATTCAAGTGTTACAACTACATTTCACCCAGATCAGTTTCGATACATTAATTTTTTACTCCACTATAGACCATGAACAGGCATAGCCAAGGTTGTCAGCATCGGGATACTAGGTAGTATCATTTTGCTCGAAGTAATATCGTATCGTAGGATCATATCGTAGTATCGGGATACTATAAGATTTTATTTTTTAAAGTTTAATTAATATTTATATTAATTATATATAGCCATTCTATATAAAAAAATATAGTAATGATATATATCATGCAAATATAGACATTTATCAAGAGAAACCACGTTGGTTTTGATATATTTAACTGATTTTTATATAAATTTGAGCATATTTAGTTACATTATTTTCAAACCATATTATTTTAAATAATATTTTGTAGTATCGTAGGGATCGTAGAATCGGGATACCACCTAAGATTTCGTAGGAACGTGTAGTAATGAATAGTAGGATCGAGATACTATGAAAATTAGGATACTAGATGGGATTAGTATCGTTTCGGCTTGATAGGATCGTAGTATCGTAAGATACTAGGATACGAATTAGGATACTGACAACCTTGAGCATAGCCCTTTGGGTACTGTGTTCATGTACAAGTGTACACTGTACTATTAGTATCGTAGGTAGCTAAACAGAATGCAGAGCAGTGCTGCATCATCGCAAAGGATGCAAAGGACATGTGAGGACTCACGTGACCAACCCTTTCCCCTCCCCTCCTTCCCATTTCTCCGTTTTCATCTCCTCTCTTTCCCTTGTCTCTTGCATTTTGTACACCAACAAAAGGCAAATACCGGGGCCCACTGCCCAAAGGGCAACCATCCCACAAAGAGGCAAATTGCTCTGTCTCCCCCTTTTTCTGTCCCCACACCAGCTGTTAAGCAAGTGTATAAACTTAGAAAAACCTATAGATTAGAGTTAATATGCACAATTGTGATCGGTTACGGATCCATGATTTAGACGTGAGGAGTAAGTAATAGTTACCGTGAAAAAACATAACTGATATGTTACTAGTTTCCAAACCATCCCACACGGATAATAAAAGCATATATATACATATGCATACATACATATATATATATATATATATATATATATATATATATATATATATGATACACATATAGGACTCCATGGTGCCCGGGCTCCAAGGTATAAAACACACAAATTCTCTCAATTTTTTTTTAAAAAAAATAAATTGTGAGTATATACCTAGGTATATGAATTTGATTCATACAAATACCTAACAACAAAACAACTCAAACTCAACTTTATTTCACAATTCATTATTACATACCTAACGAATTATATGTTTGGATGTTATATACCTAGAACCAAAATCTAGCAAAAAAAAAAGTTCAAACTCAGTTCAAACTTGTTTGAACTTGTTAGTAAAGAAGTTAATGTTCATATCTAAACATTTAAAAAAAATTTCATACTCATTCAAATTGGGTATATACTCAATTTGAATCTTGGAGCCCATATTCCATGTAGCACCAGTTAATTTACCTATATATATATACACACACACACATTTTTGTTGTAAAATTCAAAGTAATAGGTACCAAGAATTATTCACAAATCAGAAAAAGTGAACACGTCAATCATACAGCCTAATGGCTCCTGAACGGCTTGAATATGGATTTATAATTGCATGATGCAAATTAATTAGTACTTGTCAACTCCATTGGATATGGCATGCGAACAATGAAGCGCAATCTAAAAGCCAAGAGGTATATATGAGATAGAGATAAAAAGTGATGCACAACCCCGTGTCAGTAGAGCTAGAACTAAGTAACCATTGATTGAGTAAGCACTCTAAGATTGGAGCAATCAAAACATTAGTAGTAATTTGGTTGTTGCAAAAACTATTGCATGCACGACTAGGAGCGAGCACAAATCAAACATCACGGCCAAGTAAAAAGCCAAAGCTTATTGTCCACATATGATTTGTTAGTATTAGGAAGGACCATATTACCCTAGACAGATGAATCGTAACTCTATGATTTCTATCATCTTACATCTTGATCACTCAGTAAGTTCTCCCATGTATATTTTCTTGGCTACCAACTCCATCTTCTTTGATTAGCGTGAAAATATAAAACACAAACATAATATCACTATTTTTTTTATAGAAAAACACCGTCATGCAATTCCTATCATAATATCGTCTTCTTTCGCATATGCCAATTTAGAAAAAAAAACAAAAAAAGGCAAAACGGATCTACTACCACTACTACCAAACAAATAAAATGCAGCACTCCTATACATTACCACAATCCACCCCAACACCAAGAAAAACCCAAGTGAATTGTGCTTGCTACAAAATGGTTGGGTGCTCTCTAGCAGCTACAAAACCCCCAAACCCCAGGCCAGCATTGTGGGCCCCACATGCCAGGAGGACAGGTGGGGCCCAGGTAGCCCTTTGCTGCACTACTACCCACAACTGCCGCTTAATGCTGCTGCCTCAGCTTAATTATAGCCTTCCTCCTCCTCCTTTCCTCCCTCTCGAGGCCCAGGTGTTCGTCCGTGTCCTCTTCTCCACTCCACACACGCACACGCACAAGCCAAGCAGCAAGCAGCGGCGCCGATGAGAGGAGGAGTAGCTGGGCCCACCGCCGGCGAGCCGCCGGGGACGGAGGCGGAGGCGGAGGAGGTGGAGGAGAGCTCAGCTGGGGACGACGAGGAGCTGGAGCTCGGGCTCAGCCTTGGCTCCAAGAAACAGCAGCAGCAGCAGCATGCGCCGTGCCGAATCCTGACGGCCAGGGACCTGCAGCCGGCGGCGGCGCTGTCACCGGACTCCTCCGTGTCGTCGTCATCCCCCGCGGCGGCGGCGGCGGCGGGGGGGAAGAGGGCTGAGGGCCCCACCGCCACCACCTCGCCTGGGACGGTTGCTTCCGGCCATCCACACAGGTGAGCTGAGCAGAGCAGAGCAGAACACAACACCTTCAGGGTTCTTGCTTCTTCTCTGCCTCATAATTTCATATATAGCACTATATTTATTACTCGATACAAAAACAGTTTCTTTTATGATTCTCTGAAGTAGTAAGAGTAGCAGTAATAAATTTGTCTGCAAGATTGGTTGCCACTTGTTCTGCTCACTGGTTAGCATCATAGGATATTTGCATATGGCTTCTCCTGTAGTTGTGCATAGAACTCACATCAGCAACAACCTCCAAAACCTATTATTATCTACACTCCACACCTGTGCTGTGCATAAGCTTCTTATCCTTCCAAATTCAAGGACAAAAAATGACAAGTTTGGTGCTTGATCTGCACTCTAATATGTAACTACAAACACTTTTGTTTGACTTGTGGCGCTAGTAAGATTTTCTCTGAAATGAGGACCAGATATATATCAGCACCAGAGTTGCTGAGCTACACCTACACATGTAGACTTTTCAATACATTTCAACTAATCCCAACTGCATTTCCTGGTTTGGCAGCAGCTTTGGAGTGGTGGGATGGCCACCGATCCGACAGTTCAGGATGAACAGCCTGTTCAATCAGGCTAAAGAAAACACATCTGAAACCGACACCAAGAAGACCGCCACCAATGAATCTGATGTGCAGAAGGACAAGGAGGAGGGCGAAAAGAAAGGACGGGTTGCTGGATGGGTGAAGGTGAACATGGATGGAGAGGTCATTGGAAGGAAGGTGGATCTCAATGCGCACCGCTCATACAAGACCCTTGCATTAGCCCTTGAACTCATGTTCACGAAGCCGTCCATTGGCCTTTGCGCTTCTCGTAAGCTCGAGTCTGAACTGTCACTTTAAGTAGCTCACAGTTTCACATATTTTCAAATCACATCAAGTTAAGTGGAATCAAGCTTTGCTGCGCACAATACATAATAATAGTGTAGGACAATGAGATAGTTTTGCAAATTAAAATAATAGCCATGCTTCATATTGTACCTAGTAAGTCGCAAGCTTTTTTCATGATAGGTTGATTCATCTTGTCCATGAACCTGAATTATGGTTATCTTCGCATTTTCAGATAATACAAACTCGCTGAAACTACTAGACAACTCTGCCGAATACCAGCTCACCTACGAGGACAGGGATGGTGACTGGATGCTCGTTGGAGATGTTCCTTGGGAGTAAGTCGTTGCACTATGTAGCTATTAGAACCTGGGCACTAGAAATTTTTATAGTTCTAATTTTCAAGGCGACTTCGAATAGCTATTCAGGTGACTTATTATTACGGTGTTGCCTTGTTCTTGTGCGCAGAATGTTTGTCAGCTCTGTGAAGAGGTTGAGGATCATGAGGACATCAGATGCGAATGGTCTTGGTTAGATTCTTTTCTACCACCTATTACATTTGATGCTAGTCAGTCGTCTGAATGGAATCGATTATTGTTGTATGTATAACCTGTTGAACTGAATCTAGAGGATAACTTGAAATAGCTTGTTTTGCCACTAGTAGGATTTTAGCACTTTAATCAGCTAAAACGCACCCGTTTAGGTTCTAACCTGATTTGCGCTCATTTTACCGACAATCCGTTGCAGGTCAGCGATACCAGGGAATTCACAGAACCATTGCTTCAACAAGAGGCAGATCCTGAGAGCGTGTGACAAGGAAAAGAGCTATACCGCTGGTGAAGCTTGGAGCGTGCTTGATGGTTAATTACTTGTCCAGTTAAAATAGCAGAAGGCTAGTAAGAAAGAGCCACAGGGCTCACCCGGTTCTGTTATATTTTTGCCTTTGTGGTGCCTGTTTTTGTTTGCACTGTCGATCTGCAAGAGCATATGGTCGCCTTGCTCTGCTTGCATGTACAAGTATGTCTTTCTAGTAGTTTTTATGGTGTTTGATGATGATCCTTGTGCCTACCTGATTACTACTGACTCTTGCACAGCCTCACAAATCTCTATGAATTAGCCCTGGAGTTTCATTGATTAATCCACCTCCAAAATTCCTAATATGTGTGATGAAAAAAAAAAGTCTTGTGTTGCTAAGAGAAAAGGACCTTATCGCAGTTGCTGTACTGGGCCATGTGGCATCATCATCTATTCAGCATCATCCGGAGACAGAAAAAATGTAGAGTGAAAGAGGCTTGTTTGTGTGTGTGCTTTGCTTGAATGCTGATAGCTCACACTTTGTTTGCTGTCTTGGCTGTTTTCGTGTTGCCAGCCACACTGAACAGCGACCCCCCTGGATTCCTGATCCGTTCCCGGATCCGCACGAAAGCGTGCCAGCCTCCGTTGCCTCTGCCGGCCAAGCAGCAAAGCAACCAGACCACCTCCCCTGCTTCATTTTTGCCTCCAATTTTAGCACCTGTGAATGCAGAGGATTCCTGCAAGCAACAGCACATGCGCATGCTACAACTACTACTCATCACTCACTACCAGATGAGATGTGACTGACACAATGACACAATGTAGTGGTAGTACTATCATCTTCCCCAAGGTGAACAGAAACAGATTGATTCCTCAGCACAGCATGCCATGAGACATGGTGGCCAGCCTGCCATTGAAATCTTGCCAGCGAGAAAAATCAGCAAGGACCATGATAAAAACACTCCTGATTCCTTGGCACTCTCACTCGCTCGGCTGAATCTTTGATGCTGGCAGGCAGACAATGGCACGAGAACAAGGTCACCAGGAAGGAGGATGCAGGGACAGTCCAAGCACAAGACACCAAAGAATCAGAAAAGATGCCAGCAAGAAACGCAGGGAATGGATGGATAGATGCACACGGAAAAGACCAAGGTATATATATCACCGACAGCAACAAGTGAGTGGTCCACATGACAAAATGTATATAGAGCAGAGTACCACTGGACACCATTTCCCAACTACACAAACCCAGGCACATAAAGCAGCTTCCAAACATAAGACAATGGAAGATAATAATATCGTCTAAAAGAATCCCACCGGGTAAATCCTGAAATCCCTGGAGCACACTCTGCACACCCCCTGTACCGCTTCATCTGTATGACTCGGTGCGCTTCGGCTTGCTTTGGACCACCGCTTCGATCTTGTCGACGACTTCTGGGGTTAGCAGCGGAATGACATCGAGGGCCTTCATGTTTTCAACAATCTGCTCATTTTTAGTTACCAAATGATGGATTAGTATTCTTAGTTTCAGAAAAACCATTAATTGGCGTCTTACTTGGCAAAAGAAACATATCTTGTGAAGCACGCGGGCGTGTGGAACGTACCTGGTTTTCTTTTGTGGCTCCAGTGATCACAGATGAGACGTTTGGGTTCGATGCGCACCACGCGATAGCAAGTTGGGCTAACGAAACACCAAGCTCAGAAGCAATTGGTTTTAGCCCATTCACCTTTCTCAGTGTGTCGTCAACCAGAGATCTGTTGGCCAGGTTCTGAAAGAGAAAAAAGTTGCCTTGTTTAGAACAGCTCAGATTCTGAAAGAGAAAAAAGACAAACACATCTGACAAGGAAAACTGAAGTAGCATCGATGTATTTGTTAGGGGCAAGTTTCATAAGCCCATTCAGAAAATGAAAAACCATGATGTACACAAGCGTTTAGTCAACGTTCAGAACAAGCAGAAGTCATGCTAGCAGCTGCTACATAAGTTATTAAGGCCCTGTTTGTTTCAGCTTAAGATTATTGTAATCTAGATTATTGAGCCAGATTACTATAAGTTGGATTATAATAAAGCCGACATAGAATAAGCTATTAGCTGTTTGTTTCTCCGGATTATTAGTTGTTTGTTAGCTGTTAGCCACCCAATAATCTAAAAAAGCACCTTTAGAGTGGATTACCAGATTATAGTAATCTGGCTTATAGATTATAATAAGCTATCACAATAAGCTATCTGTTTGTTTCAGCTTACTCCTAATAATCCAGATTATAATAATCCTAAGCTGAATCAAACAGGGCCTAAGTCACAACAATGACACGCTATGTTCTGGAACACTGATCATGCAGCATTGAATCCACCATGAACTACAATCCAATGATTAATGCAATTGATATAGTAGTAATAGTTGAGTTTTATCCTTGGTATCTTAACATGACATTGTGATCTTCATGCATGGACAAAGGTACTCCCTCCATCTACTTTTGATAGTCATATTTCATCTTGATACACAGACCAAGGATAAGTAATTCTACTTATCATCTATTTAAACATGCTACTAGTCATTCCTCGTAAACAAACGATTCATTAATATTTACATTTCTCGATGCTCATGTAGCCAATCTTGTGTGGAAGAATGGAGAGTCACACATTAAATCCAAGAAAGTCGTTAAGATGATAGGTTGTTGGATTGAAATATGCCTATCAAAAATAAAATTTTCAGATTTGGAAATATGACTATCAAAAGTAGATGGAGGGAGTAATTAATAGTCAGGTACTCAGGTAGCATGATACTTTAAAAAGCATAGTTACAGCGTAGTATTGTCGATAGAAAAAATGATGGCACAAGGCAGCTGAGAATAAGCATGAACATTTTAATATCAGAATTCAGAAAAAGAAAAGCAGGAATGCACGTATCTAGTACAGGGACAAAGTTACCAATATTACCTTGTAATTTTCTAGGGCAAACCTACTATCAGCAGGTATATTTCCTTTGGCATACTTTCCAGTGAGAACTCCCGAAGCTAGAGGGCTCCATGTAGTCAAACCCAGGCCATACGTGCTGTAAAGAGGTAAGAACTCAGATTCCACCTGCAGAAGTACAAGATCGTTACTTCTTGTTACACAATTACACACAGCAATAAACTTTTTGCCATCTTAATCTTCAAAAGGACTTGCTACAATGCATTGGTGAGAAAAAGCAGTGATCCTACACACTCAGTTGAATGGCAGAAGTTTGTCAGCACAGAACAGTACAGTGTACATGCCTTTTATGGTTATATCAAAAAGTTCTGTATCAGCAATGGATCTGCTGATAGATGGATCAGTCATGACTCGTAGCCAAGTCCAATTCATTGCATTGGCTATACTGAACTAGCAACTCAAATTCTTCAAGTTCAACATTGTTCTCCTTTAGACTTACTGGATTCTGAAATATCTTACAGCAAGATTCTGGAAAGCATCGCATAAAGAAATCTGCATTGTCACTTGTTAGTGGACTGTCAATTCACAAACAGAGTGTGAAGAATGTTAAGGAGCTGGCTCGGAGTCTCCTTTTCCTTGCCGGGGGATGAAGGGGAACACTTCATGGAATGGTGACGACAAGTGCGGCAACTTTTTCAGCCGAGCTACAGGCCGGCCTTTGACACTCTATGTATGTTGGTTTGTTGGATGTTATGGAAAGAGCGCAACTCGAGAATCTTTGAACACAAAGATTGCACTTCAGCGCAAGTTTACAGAGCCATTAGAGATGAAGTGCTGATTTGGAGGGAAGCTGGAGTGTTTAAGCATAGAGAGTAGTGTGTGGGAGTCTTCTCCTGGGTTCCTTGATCCCTAGGAGCTTTTTCTTTTTTTTGGGGGGGCTTATGCCCTGCGACAGTACAATGTCGTTCTGTACCTGGTTCATTTCTCTCTCTTCTTAATACAATTCGGTTGGTCGATTTTCAGCCGACCCGGCAAAAAGAAATCTGCATTGTGCATAGCAAAAATAAATAACTAAGTACATTTCCTGCTAGGTTGTATCATCCTCCCAGTAGACAACAAGAGAAATCTCTGGACTAATTTATTCGTAGCACTAGTCATAGAGAATGACAACCATTTCTGTTTTTCCTCTACCAGTCATAGAAAGCTCCACCTTGACTACTTAAGCTCATGCTGTCTTTTCTGTTTTAAGCGTGCTGAAGCTGCCAAATAGAAAAATTTTTGGGAGCCCAAACTGAAACTTTTTGAGATCTCACATATTTACGTAAGCCATCTCATTTGATTATGACCGAATATCAAGGTGTCAACCTGATAAAGACTAAATATCAAATAAAGCTTCCAATTGTAAGTATGAAAGGAGCATTGTTGTCTAAGTAATCTCCACAATATTGTTATACTTGAGCTTTCATTATCAGCATTGCTCTGTCTTTTGCCTGGCGTAATGACACAAGAGAATGTAAAGCAATGCATGGCCGACATTACTGCCTACTACTCCAGTTCTGAAGCTAAAGAAAAATACTATCGCTGGAGCCATGTAGTGCTACAGGTCACATCGAGGAGGATGAGATCTATACTACTCATCCTCCCTGACTGCTCACCTGTGCTTAATTTTCAAAGTTTAGGTGAAAATGCGGAGATGTCACCATCGCGAATCGAACCGATGCTCTATCATGTGTAGCCAAAATTCTCATGTAATTGGTATACTACTTACTCATCCGTGCAGGTGGAATACTAACGGTACTAGTGTCTACAGGATCTAGGAGCTCATCAAAGAGACAATAATAAATGTGAAAAAGAGAAGGATCTGATCCTAATCCCAACTCACCAAACCTACGTACAGTACTACGCATCAGCAGTTGGAGTACTAGAATACCAGCATTAAACATATTCGCTTTCGATTTTAAACGAGCTCTCGTTCTGGGCGGTGGAAACATCGGCAAGTGCTCATCAATTGGTACACATGAAATCCGTGAACCGCCATCAATTCAAATTCAATCCGCGCGTATCGCCCAACCAAATTGAAATTGCTATGGGTTTTGGAAGATGAGATCCAGTTGGGGGGAAGGAAGGAAGGATAGGGATAAGGGATCAGTGACCTTGTGGCGCGAGAAGAGGTTGTACTCAGGCTGTTCGACGATGGGTCCGACGAGGTCGAGGCGGTTGGCGACGCTCCACGCCTCGGTGATCTGCTGGGCGGACCACTCGGAGGTGCCCCAGTAGAAGGCCATGCCGTGGTCGATGACCCAGTTCATGGCGCGCACGGTCTCCTCGACGGGGGTGGTGGCGTCGGGGCGGTGGCAGTAGACGACGTCGACGTAGTCCATGTCGAGGCGCTTGAGCGAGCCGCGGAGGCCCTCGACGATGTGCTTCCGGGAGAGGCCCTTGTCGTTGGGGCCCTGCCCTCCCCAGAAGAGCTTGGTGGAGACGACGACGTCGGAGCGGCGCCACCCGAGGTCCCGCATCGCCTGCCCCATGATCTCCTCGGCGCGCCCGTTCGCGTACACCTCGGCGTTGTCGAAGAAGTTCACGCCGGCGTCGCGGCACGCCTGGAGCAGCGCCTTCGCCTCCTTCACGTCCAGCTGGTTGCCGAACGTCACCCACGCCCCGTACGACAGCTGGCTCACCCGCAGCCCCGACCTCCCCAGGTTCTTGTACTGCATCTTCGCCGCCTTCGCCTCCGCCGCCGCCGCCGCCTTCTTCCTCGTCGACGGTGAGGTTGGTTTGGATCTGCAGCGAGAGAGAGATCGAGAAGGGCTAGGTGTCGCGCGGATGCGTTGCGTATTTTCAGCTCTACTACTACCTGCGAGTCGCACGTGTTGAGCACGTGTCACGGACAGGTGGACCGATCTGTCCGGGGCCCACCTGTCACTGGGATTGGACGGAGCGTGGTGGGGCCCGATTGCAGGCGGTGGGAAGCCGAGGGGGATATGTCAGGTGGTGTATGACAGGTGGGCCATACGGGTACCGTAGGTGCGCTGGCTGTGTGGGGGTAAGGAAAAGCTGGGGTGACAGAAGAAAAAGGTTTCGCTCCCACCTTTTGAGATTCGGCAGCGCGAGAGCGATCCGCGGGCGGGCGAGTAGATTCCGCTACGCTGGATGACATCCCGACCCCACAAGCTGACAGCGCCAGGAAGGGAGAAGGCGACGCGGCCGCCGCCACCGTCCGGCACGGTGCAATGTCAGCCAGCCATGGATTTTTTTCTGCCACGTACAGAAAGCTCATGCTCATCTCGTCGGACTGGACACCAGCGTACAAATTGTTCTATGATTAATCTATATAGTAGATAGTTGTTACTTCTTCGTTTCAAAATATAAAAAAAAATTGATTGGATAAGACACATCCTAAATTTATAACACTATGAATCTGGATATAATTAGATAAAACACATCCTAGTACGATGTTTAGATTCGTAGTTCTAAAAATTTGGATATGGTTGGATAATACACATCCTATTATTATGTCCAGATTCGTAATACTATGATATGTCTTATCTAACTAAAACTTATTATATTTTGGAAGAAAGAAAACATATTTATGATGCAGAGAGTAGCTTTCGAAATATTGAGCTTTTTATTTTTATTTTCAGGAGAACCCAAAGATTCTGTGACACCACACGTCATGTGCTCATGCATGTGATGCCGATGCGTCATGCGATGTTCTCTTGTGCCTGGAGATGCCATGCCACTCTGCACGTGACGGCTATTGTCTCAAAGTTGAATAATAATAATAATAATAATAATAATAATAATAATAATTAATAAATAATGATAATTATGATGATAGATGGCCCTTCTTATTTAATGCTATTATTGATGGGTTGTGCCTTAGGGAGATACGAATGACTGGTAGGAATTTTACTTGGACAAATAATCTGGCACACCCAACCTATGAGAAACTGGATAGAGTTTTAGTGTCAACGGAATGGGAGCAAAAATACCCTTTATCCTCTTTTGTTGCTCTCAATAGAGATATTTCAGACCATACTCCTTTGCTCCTAAATACAAAATCTTCCTCTTTTAGTAACGCTCAACATAGTTTTAAGTTTGAACTTGGTTGGTTGTTACGTGATGGATTTGTTGATATGGTAAAAGAAGTTTGGTCTGGGGTTGATGAGGTCAATACTCCTATGGAGCGTTGGCAAGCGAAAATTCGCCGCCTAAGACAGCATCTTAGGGGATGGGCTAAACATACCAGTGGTTTATACAAAAAAGAGAAAAAGCATATTTTAGATAAGTTGGAGGCGCTGGATAAAAAGGCAGAGACTGTTCTCCTGTCTCAAGAGGAAGTTGATATTAGATGGTTTTTCAGGAGTAGGTTATCTGTCATTCTAAGAGAAGAAGAAATTAAATGGTATCAGCGGGCTAAGACTAAGGATATTTTAGAGGGTGACTCTAATACAAAGTATTTTCATTTAGTGGCAAATGGAAAACATAGGAAAACTAGAATTTATCAATTACAGGAGAGTGATCATTTAATAAGTGGTGATGCCAATTTAAAGTCGCATATTACCACTTATTATAAAGGTCTTTTTGGCCCTCCTGATGAGTATAACCTTCAGTTTGATGAGAATTATGTTGCTGACATTCCTCAAGTTTCATATTTAGAGAATGAAGCCTTAACTAAGGAATTTTCTGAAAATGAGGTTAAGGATGCTATTTTCCAAATGGAACATAACAAAGCTCCGGGCCCAGATGGATTTCCTGCTGAGTTTTACCAAGTTTTCTGGAATGTCATTAAATTTGACCTTTTAGAGTTATTTAAGGACTTTCATTCTGGGAGTTTGCCTTTATATTCGCTTAACTTTGGAACTATCATTCTTTTGCCTAAGTATGCTGAGGCTTTAAAGATTCAACAGTATAGACCTATATGCCTACTTAATGTTAGCTTTAAGATTTTTACCAAAGTTGCTACAAATAGAATAATGGATGTCGCTCAAAAGGTAATTAGTCCTACTCAAACTGCGTTTATTCCTGGGAGAAATATTATGGAAGGGGTGGTTATTTTACATGAGACTTTACATGAATTACATCGCAAAGATAAAAGTGGTGTAATTTTTAAGATTGATTTTGAGAAAGCTTATGATAAAGTTAAATGGCCTTTTGTACAACAAACTTTGAGAATGAAAGGCTTTTCTCCTAGATGGTGTGAATGGATAGCTTCTTTTGTTCAAGGTGGTCATGTTGGTATAAAAGTTAACGATCAAATTGGTAATTGTTTTCAAACTTACAAAGGACTTAGGCAAGGGGATCCTTTATCCCCTATTCTTTTTAATATAGTAGCTGACATGCTTACTCTATTGATTAAGAGGGCTAAAGAGGCGGGACTCTTGAATGGGGTTATTCCTCATCTTGTTGATGATGGTGTGTCTATCTTGCAATACGCAGATGATACTATTATCTTTTTGGAGCATGACTTGCAACAGGCAAAGAATTTGAAACTGATTTTATCGGTATTTGAAAAGTTATCTAGCCTAAAAATAAATTTTCACAAGAGTGAATTATTTTGCTTTGGTCAGGCAAAGGAATGTTATGAACACTATTCTGATATTTTTGGTTGTAAGTTAGGTACCTTTCCTTTTAAATACCTTGGAATTCCGATGCATTTTAGGAAGCTTTCTAATAAAGATTGGAAACTTATTGAAGAGAGAATTGAGAAAAAGCTTAGTAGTTGGAAAGACAAGCATTTATCTGTTGGTGGTAGACTGGTGTTGATTAATTCTGTTCTTTCAAGTTTAGCCCTATTTATGATATCTTTTTTTAGGTGCCGAAAGGGGTTCTTCGTAAAATTGATTATTATAGATCGCGGTTTTTTTGGCAAGGGGATGACCATAAGAAAAAATACAGGCTCACTAGGTGGGATGTTGTTTGTCAACCCAAGGACCAGGGGGGTCTTGGGATTCATAATTTGGAGATACAAAATAAATATCTTTTAAGTAAATGGTTGTTTAAGTTAATTAATGAGGATGGGGTTTGGCATGATTTATTGAAGAGGAAATATCTTTATAATAAATCTATAACCCAAGTTGACAGGAAACAAGGTGATTCCCATTTTTGGTCTGGTCTTATGAATGTCAAAAGTACTTTCTTAAATATGGGTTCTTGGATTGTCAATAATGGGGAACAAATCAGATTTTGGGAAGATAGATGGATTGGTAACTTGGCTTTTAAGGATAAATATCCATCTTTGTACGCAATTGTTCGGAGGAAAACATCTTCTATTGCCACTGTTATGGGATATGTTCCGCTTAATGTTTCTTTCAGGAGAGCTTTAATTGGTCAGAATCTTGTTTGTTGGCATCAGTTGTGTACCTCTATAGTACATATTCAGTTGAATGATTTGTCTGATAGTTTTAGATGGAATTTCCATCAGAATGGCTTGTTCTCGGTGAGGTCTATGTACCTAGCTTTAATTAATAATGGCTATATCGAGAGAAACAAGTGTATTTGGAAGCTTAAGTTGCCACTTAAGATTAAAATTTTCATGTGGTACCTGCTTAAAGGGGTTGTGTTAACTAAGGATAATTTGGCAAGGCGTAACTGGAATGGCAGCTTGAGGTGTTCTTTTTGTTTGAAGAATGAGTCTATTCAACATCTCTTTATGGATTGTCATTTTGCGAAATTTCTATGGAGAGCAGTTCAGTTCTCTTTTGGTTTTAATCTTCCAGTTAGCATATCTCATATTTTTAATGGGTGGCTTTTGGGAGTTGATAAGAAAATGAGTAAACTGATACTTGTTGGAGCTTCTGCCATTTGTTGGGCAATATGGCTGAGTAGGAACGATATGGTTTTTGACAAATCACCATCATTTTCCTATATGCAGGTTATTTTCAGGGCAACTCATTGGCTCCGGTTTTGGGCACAACTACAAAGGTGTGATGAAGATGAAGAGTTTCTGAAAGTTGCATGCCGAAAGTTGGAGACCACGGTTATGCAACTATTTGCCAATTATGGTTGGAGATTTACAAATAGACTTCAATAATTGTGATCTCCTTACATTAGGCTGGTTTCAATAATAGTGATCTTCGGTATGTTTCTATTCATTTAGATTTACACTATGTTCATGAAAACTACTATGTAATAATTGGCTGTAGCTCTTTTGAGTAAATGCCGGGATATTATATTTCATTATCTAAAAAAAATAAATAAAAGCACTTCACGCTTGAAAGTTGAAAGTTGAAAGGAACAGTGTTTGCGAGGGCATTGAGTTGAGTTGGACCAGGCTTTGAAGGGCGTGGGCCTCATAGATGGGCCCCAAACGGGCCAATCTTAATTTGTCTCACATCTTCTTCTCCCTTTTTTCTTCTGCCTTTCCTTTTTCTCTGGCCATCTTTGGTTGGTACAACAGCGTGCGGGGAATAATGATAGACGTGATGATCATTAACGCAGGAAGGGGCTACTATAATCAGTGTGCAGTAGAAAATGACTGCAGCCAACATATTCTCGAGCACATTGATTGGCGGAGATCACCATACGAAATGATGAGATTCTTATTCTCATTCCTTCCCTTTCACCAAAAGAAAAAATAAAAACATGACGTATATTTATTAAAGTAATCCAAAACAATGATTTTTAAGTGCTTGTTCAATTTATTATTATTATTAACCTTACAACAAATCAATAATACTCAATTTCCATGTAGTTTGATGTTACTAAATTTTGGTAGCGTTGGTTGCATTTGGGGCCATTTTGGATTGATGCTAAAATATGCCCTACCAATTGTTTAGCAATTTAAATAATAGTTTGATTGGTTTGGATTAGAGTCAAAGCATTGGCAATGCCC